ACTACCATAAAATACCACAGATTGAGTAGTTTAAGTGACAATATTTTTTGTTTGTTTCACAATTCTGAAGGCTAGAAGTTCAAGGCCAAAGTGCCAGAAAATTAAGTTTCTGTTGAGGCCTCTCTTTCTGGTTTTAAGTCAGCTAACTTTTTGTAATGTGCTCACTTGGTCTTTGGAGAGAGTTCTGGTGTCTCTTTTTATAATAACATTTTCTACATAGATAATGCTGGTCTGTCTATTTCCTACATAGATCCACTCTTACGACTTCATGTAACTTAAGAACCTTCTTAATGGTTCTACCTCCAAATGCAGTCACATTGGGGTTAGAACTTCAACATAAATTCCGTAAAGATGAGGGATGGGCCAGGTATAATTCTGTCCATTGCTATATGAGAGTAGAGGAAATTAAATAAGATGATATACATGGCCCATTAAAATCAGAGAAATCATAAAAAGAGAGGAAGACTAAAAATAGAGAGAAACCAAAACACATTGTACTGAAGAGAACAGTTATCCATGTGGTATGCAATAATTCACTATGCCTATCATCAATTTAAACGTAAATTTTTTTGAATTGGCACATACAGGAAATCACCAGAGTGGAATAAAATTGTAATAGTCAATTTATGTTGCCTAGAAGAAACTCACTTTAAATATAAAGACACAGATAGATTAAAATTAAAAGGGGAACAATGTCCTTACTAACCTGAACCAGAAGAGGGCTGAGTAGCTATGCAATCAGAACAAAGAAAAGTACCAGAAATAAAGAGGGGCACTACAAAATGACAAAGAGATCAATTATTCTAATGAGGTGGGAGGCAGGGACCCTAAGAGTATAGTTAGGGTATAGGCCTAAAATGGAGACAACCTAAAACAAAGGCTTTTTTCCATGTCCCACCACATTCCAGAAAGAAAAGAAAATAATGGTTTTTATGGCCCAAAGTTTTTAGACAAAGAATCTCCTGATTTTTGTACTCATTCTAAAATGAAGAGACCAACTATCAGATCCCTCCCGCATATGTCCCCCGCCCTGAGGGAAACATATACATGAGCCCCACCTGAAAACAAGCCCTGACAAAGCCCCTCTGACCCAGGTAAAAACCCCTCACCCCAGTCTTCCTCAGCAATACATACTCGGGGACCCACTCCATGCTTCGGAGTTCTGTTCTTCCTTCCCTCTCTTAATAAACTCTCTGTGCTAGCCCCTCTCTGTGTTGATGTTTCTAATTCTTCATGAGCTGTGGACAAGAACTCATGTCACACTGTGGGTACTGGGCCTGATCCCTCCTGTACCCCCACATCTCCACATCAATAACATCCATAATGTATAGGTACCTAAAAAAAGAACATCACTGTCACTGTGTGAGGCAAAAACTGATAAACTGCAAGAGAAATAGATAAATTCACTATTATAATTGGAGATTTAAAAATTTCTATATTAGTAAGTGACAGGTCCAGCAGGCAGAAAATCAGTATCAACCTAATAAAATAGACATTTACAACATGCTTCATTTAACAGCAGTAAAATATATATTCTTCATAAGCTCATATGGAATATTCACCAAGTTAGATCACATTATTGCTCTCCCCCCCAAAAAATTATCACATTTAAAAATAATAGAAATCTTCATAAGCTCATATGGAATATTCACCAAGATATATCACATTATTGCTCTCCCCCCCAAAAAAATTATCACATTAAAAATAATAGAAGTAAAAAGCATATTATAGGACCATAGAAGAATGAAAATGGAAGTCAACAATCGGAAAGCAGTTGCAAAATTCCAAAATATCTGGAAGTTAACACATTTCTGTGCATCATAAGAACTAAGGAAGAACTTTTGAAAAGTGTAAAAATATTTTAGACTATATGAAAATACACAATATTGAGCAAAGCAACCAGACTATGAAAGAGAAGCATCGTATGCCCCCACTTAATATACACTCAATGTCTGCACTCTGATGGAAACTGAGAGATTGGCAGCTATAAAGGCATGGAGAGCAACAGGAAACCAGGGACAGTGCAGAGGAGGGTGGACAAAGGGGGGCAGGCGGGAGGGAATCAAGAGGGAAAAAAAGGGCAAAACCTTAACCCTTCCACACAAAAGTGGAAAATTATCCACTGATAATGTTGTAAGGATGTACAGTGATTAAATGGAAAACACACACACACACACACACACACACAAAGAAAAGGAAGAACAAAGAAAAGGAAGTAGGGAAAAAAAGAAAATATAAATACAACTTGTCAAAATTTGGTATGCGGCAAAAAGTAGTGCTAAGAGAAACATTTATAGTACTGAATAGATATATTAGAAAAACAAGATCTAAAATCAATAATCTAAGGTTATACTTTACAAAAGAGCTACATAAACCTAAAGCAAGAAGAAAAAAGAAATAATAAAAATTAGAATAGAAATCAATATGATTAAAAACAGGAAACCAGTAGAAGAAATCAACAAAACTAAAACTGGTTCATAGCAGAGAGACTCAAATTACTAACATCAGAAATGAAAAAGGAATTATCACTGCAGATCTCATGGGCACTAAAAAGATAATTAAAAAGAATCACTCTATGCTTACAAATTTGTTAATTTAAATGAAATGGACCAATTCCTTGAAGTCGCGAAATACCAAAATCTACATGAGAATTAGATAATAGACATATTTTTAGAGAAATTGAATTAAACATTAATCACTTGTCAAAAAATGAATTATCAAGATCAGACGGCTTCAGCAGTAAATTATATGAACATTTAAGAAAAAATATTATTCTGATTTCCTACAATATTTTCTAGAAAATAGAAGAAACTGGAACATTTCCCAACTCATTTCATGAGGCCATCATTATCACAATACCAAGTTAGATAAAAACTTTACAACAGAGGGAAACTACAGACAAACAGCTCTTATGAATACAGGTGCGAATATTCTCACCAAAACACTAGCAATCAAACCCAACAGTGTATTAAGAAAATAATGCACCATGACCTGGAATTTATTCCAATAGGCAAGACTAGTTCCACATGTGAACATCAGTCGGCATACCCTCCACATTGACAGGCTGAAGAAGTAAAAGCACATGATCCTATCAACAGAGCAGAGAAGCACACAGTAAACGCAATCCCCACTTGTGATAACAACTCTCAGCAGACTACAATAGGAATGGGGGAAAGTTCCCATTTGCTGAAGAACATCTTCAAAACTCCCCCAGCGAGCATCATGCTTAACGGAGAGAAACTGGGTGTCTGCTGTAAGAACAGCAACATCTAACTGGAAATCCTAGCTAGAGAAATGGCACAAGAAAGGGGAATAGAAGACCTATCTGTTGGAAATGAGAAAGCAAATGGTCTTTGTTAGATGGCATGATTGTCTATGCAGAAACTCTCGAAGAATCAACAACAACAAAAATAACAACAACAAAACTGGAACTAGTCAGAAATTATTACAGCAAAGTTAGTGCTTACAATTAATATATAAAAGCCAGCTACTTTCCTGCACATGAGAATGCAAAAAATGGAATTTGAAATGTAAAATAATACCAGTACATTAACACCAATGAATGAAATATATGAGTAGAAATCCAACAAAATATAGAAAGGATCTAACTGAAGAAAACTGCAAAACTGCTGAAAGAAATGAAAGAAGATCTAAATAAAAGAGATATATCATACTTACGGATAAGAAGACTCAATAAAAGTCAGGTATCAGTTCTTCCCAACTTGATCCACAGGATCGACACCATCCTAACCAAAAGCCCAAAGTCGTTTTGTGAATTTGGATACTGAGGAACGGATTATTCTATACGGAAAGGCAAGAGACCTAGAATAGCCAGCTCGGTATTGAAGAACCAAGGTGGAGGGCAAGACTTAGTATAAAGCTACAGGAATCAAGACGGCGTGGGTTGACCAAAACTAGACATGGAGTTAAAGGAACAGGAAAGAGCACACATGAATATAATCAACCCATCTGTGACAAGGGGGCATCTAGCAAGCGGAGGCTCAGGATGCAGCTAAACATGTTGGCAACAAAGAACGGAATGGTCCAAAACGTAAGTTTTCTGTGCAGCCTCATCTGCACAGAACTTCCCAAGGAAATGACATCAAAGCTTCGAGAACCAAGAGTTCAGTTAAGTCAGAGAATAAACAGTCAATATGAAGACACCAATTATGTCTCCACACACTCAGTAGAAAATTAATGACTGTGTTAAGTTTTGACTTGTGTTGTTATTACGCTACATTTCCTCTGCTATGTGGATATAGGATGAAGTTAAAAATAACTAGCAATTGAAGTGTGGGCACCATGTCTGCATTTTATGTTTTATCTTCTGAATTTGACAAGTGAAGAAATAGACTTGGTAAAATATCTTGATCAAGTCACACTATTAATTAGTGTTGGCTGGAGTGCTGAGGTGAGCTTTCCTGTCTAAAATGAAAGATTCTGATCTTTATTATGTAACAATTCCTGCAATGTTAAAAATCTACTTTAGCAAAGTCACAGGTTAAAAAATGCTCTGAAAACTCTTTAATGACAAAAATGTTTTATTCATTATTGTCAAGAAACTTGTAAATTAATATTACTTAAATATCTTACTTAGGGTGGCTTTTCTTTCTTTCTTTCTTTCTTTCTTTCTTTCTTTCTTTCTTTCTTTCTTTCTTTCTTTCTTTTTAAGAGGTTTTTTCCCTTAGGGTGCATGTGCTTGCCAGAGAAAGAGACAGAGACAGTGAGAGGGAAAGTGAGAAATCATCCCTCAGGGGCAATGGCTCCACCACAGTCTCTTCTCCTCCACTCTCATCCAGGGATCTTGGCCACCTACACACACCTGTCTGGCATGATTTTCAAGCCACTGGGTCTGGGACTTGAACCCCAGTCAGCCATGTGGGAGTCCAGCACCATCACCGCTATTCCATCTGCTGGTCCATAGGTGGCTTTTTTTAAATGTTGAATTTAAAAATAGCGTTTATTCAAATGCCACATACAAAATAATTAAATGGCGTGCACTTTACTGCTTACCTTTCTTTTCTTGGACAAGAGCGGGGCGAAGAACTGCCAGTGTCCTGTCTAATTTCACGGTTTTCATCTTTTTAAAGTCAGGGAAGAAGATGTCAATGAACTTAGCAACATTAGTTACAGATTCTTCAATGTCACAAAACTGAGATACATGTTGCCTCTCCAGATATTCTTCTAAACTGTTAAAGTCCAAAATATAATTTGAGATGATTATAAACTGAAATGTACTAGCCATGCCGACAAGTTAAAATTGATAAATTGTTTACTTGGAGTCTAGTAAAACGAATGAAACTTAAAGTAGATGTAAACATTTTCCTATTATGTCCAAGAATAAAATATTTCATTCAACTTTAAATTGAACTATTCCAAAAATCACTAAGATGATATCATCTGTGTTAGACTTATTGAGGAGATAAATTAAGATCAAGGCAAAAAATGTTTTTTTAGGGAAAAAAGTTTTGCCTTTATGTAGAATTTTCCAGATAGTTTCTATTTTCCTTTTCATTTTGTCTTTGCACCCAAGGTTACTTAGAAGTACATTTCATACTTTCAAATAGACATTTTTGGTCTTGTTATTTTTTATTTCCAATTTTATTAGACCATAGTTAGCAAGTGTGTAGTAAAATCTTAGTTTTAATTTTTTCTTAACTCTGTGAACACAAAATTTATCTGTGGTATTTTGTTGTGTATATATTTCTATTTCATAAGGACATGATATTTTGGTATTGTTGGTCCATCACAATAGGAGGTATGCAATTTCAGTTTTCCTGTAATTGGTGAGTAAGGTGGTGTCCCCAGTGTTCTCTGCTAAGGGGCTATTCTTTGCCTGTATCCCTAATAAGCAGTCTGTGAGGACGTTGTATGAACCCGGCTTCTGCACGTGTTGATGACTGGAGGCTGCATCATAAATATGACGGGTTTTAATTCAGTACGTAGTTTAACCGATAATCGCTGTATTTAATCTCTATATTTATGCTTTCAAGTTTAATAGCCATATTCTTGACTTTATTTCTTCCATCTCAGCATAAGTGTGTGTGCGCGTGCGTGTGCTCGCCAAAGACAGAGACAGAGAAGGGAAGTGAGAAAGCACCCCCGAGTGGGGGTAGCTGTGCTGCGATCCCTTCTCCATCCTCCGCTCAGGATTTGGGGCACGCACACATACATGATCATGTCTTCTTCAGGCCGCTGGGTCCAGGATTCTGTGGAGTCAGTCGTGTGGAATCCAGCCAACTTAACCTCCATGCCACCCACTGGCCCCAATGTATGAGTTTATTTTAATGCAGGAAAAAAAAAGTCTTTTAAATCCATGCATAGTTTTTCATATTAACATGTTTCCACGAACTTTTTGAAGATCCCTAGCCTTTCCCAACGTCAACATGGCATTTATGTCTCTTTTCTACATATTCGTACAAGAACCTTGAAATACTTTGTTACCTTTTTATCTCATCTCTCCTATCCTCTGTGAGACCTTAGAGCCATCTGGTCATATAACCCCCATCCACCCAGCAACTCCTACCTTTTGTTGAGATAATTTAGAATTGATCAGAATTTCCCTCATTAGCTGTTGTATTGTATAATGCAAATTTGGTCATGTGCTGTGTGTGTGTGTGTGTATGACGGTATGCATTACATGATTCCAAAGTTCATTGTCAACAGCCATTTTCCTTCTCATCCTCCATGGTTTTTGTTTGGCTGAGTCCTTTGGAACGGTCCCTTCGTTGTCCCCTGGCAAGGCACAGAGATGACCTGTCTCTAAGCAGGCCCTTCAACATCTTCCTTTGCACTCCCGGTTGACGACAAGGCTTCACAAGGACTGTGAGGGTTACAGTTGTTTTCTCTTGGCAATCAGATGACAAGTCCCCTGCCAGCTAGATGCTCTGTTGTTAAGTAAGTTATTTATTCTCAGTTGCTGCCAGGGGGGCCACCTGAAGTGCAAGGGAACATTTAAACCCATAATAAAACCAACCGAAAGTCAGGCTGCTCGTCCGCCTGTTCTTTCTTCTCTGTACCGAATTCTTCAGCCTGCTTACTTCTGCTCTCACGATGTCTGTGCCCATTTTTCCATACTTTGAGCTGTTTCTTACATCTGATTTTCAAAATCATTCATTTGAGGCTCACATGACTATCACGCTAATTCTGTACTGAATTTATATTCAAATCATGACTTTTATCATTGAAATTTGGGTCCTTCCCTATGCATAGGTATCAATTGGGTCTCGAGTACTGTTATTACTTTAAGTGTTTCGTTTTGTTTTGCTACAGGGCACGTGTGCCTGTAAGAAAGACATAGAGAGAAAGAGAGAGAGTGAGAAGTACTTGCCAGGGATGTCTATGCCACAACACCTTCTCTCGAGATTTCGAGCAGGTATCACACACGTCTGGTGTGTTTTCCAGGCTGCTGGGTCTGGGACTCGAACCATTCAGTCATCCCTGTGAGATCCAGTCACTGTGACCATTTCCATCTGCTGGCTCCAAGGATATTCGGTCTCCAGCAGTTTTTTCTTTCTTTCTTTTTTCTTTTTTTTTGGAGAGGTTTTAGCTACAGGGCGTGTGCGCTCACCAGAAAGACAGAGAGAGACAGAGAGAAAGCGAGAAATCACCCCCCCAGGGGGATGGCCACGTTGCAATCCCTTCTCCTCCATTCTCCTCTTGGGATCTTGGGCACGTACGCACATGCACCCAGTCCAAAGACAAAAGGTGGGCATCTGACCAGCTCCGCACAGCATGGCGGGCAGAGTGAAGAGGTGGTGGGCATGTGCAGAGAGGGGCCCGTCCCTCGTGTGCCCCCCTGCTTCCCTTCCTCTCCTCATAAACGGACTGGGAGCTAATGATATTAGGAGCTCCCACTACCTAAAAAGTGCAACATGACAGGCATCAGCAGATACAGGCACTCAGGAAGAGTCACTTCAATTCATTAATAAGCCAACAGGGGGGACCAGCAGATGGCGTAATGGTTACATCGCTGGACTCCTACTTAAGTGACCATGGTTCAAGTCCTGGACTCTGCGGCTTAAAACTCATGCCAGGTGCATGTGTGTACATGCCCAAAATCCTGAGAGGAGAATGGAGGGGAAGGGATTGTGGAGTGGCCATCCCCCCGGGAGTGATTTCTCACTTTCTGCCTCTCTGTCTCTCCAGCAAGCACATGCGCCCGATAGCAAAAATCTCTCCAATAAAAAAATAAATAAATAAAAAAGACAATAGGGAGGTCCCACAGAGTCCCAGCCAGAAAGTGCAGCAGAGACAGGCACACCGCGTGAACCCTCAACACTCAGAGGCTCCGAGCAGGCTCCCGGTCACCCAGCTTTCTGTCAGAACAGCCCGGACAAGTGTGTTCAACTTGGGTTGTCTGGGTCTTCCGATGAATAAAACGGTAGCACAGAAAACTATTATCCTACAAATTTCTGATGTTTAGTATCATAAACATTAAAAAAAAGCAATAACAAAAATATAGATGCATTTTATTCTCAGCACTTTATCACCAGTAACTGTCTAAAGTACAACAAGTTTGCATTAAAAAAAAGCAATAACAAAAATATAGATGCATTTTATTCTCAGCACTTTATCACCAGTAACTGTCTGAAGCACAAGTTTGATGTCTTTAGCAGATCGGGCAGGTGAAAGGGCGCTGCAGGGAGATGGGCGAGGAGGCCGTCTAAAGGATTATTCATGGCTGCCCTACAGCCCTCGAGTCCCAGGCCACGACGTCAGACTGGTGCGCTCAGTTTTAGAAAGGAAGCAGGCAAAGGTCTGCTCTCCTCATGCTCTCGACACACAGAGCAGCCTCAGCCTTCTGAGTGTGCGGTATTGTAGCTCGACCAGAAAAAGCATGCCTGTGGCTTCAATATAAAGCATATGCCTTTAGGTTTTGAGATAGCTGGGTCATACTCCTCACCATCTAGTAACACGTGGTGCATGGTAAAATCTCAGGTCTCAAGCTTACCTGTCCCGCTTCCTCTTTATCACTTCAGGTATGGACTTAGCTTCAACCTCGGGTTCTTCCTCAGATGGTTCTGGAGGTTCAATCTCAGGAAGATCTTCTTCCCAAAGATTCTGTTCTTTTCCTTGAGATAAAACTAGAATGCTGCTCAGGCCACTTGTCATGAAAGAGATGAACTCTTCAAAGTCAGGCTGTAAAAGAAAACGAGAAAACTGTTTACTTCAGGCTCCCCAAATGGATGGACTGAAACGGCGGCCACTACCCACATCCAGTGAAATCTTTTCCATAATTCTCACTGGGCTAGGGAATGTTTTCCCTGTAAACCTTCTGCTAACAAATGCACTTGGAGGGATACTCACTCACCACCAGCGGGAACTGATCTTAAACAGGATGACTACTCTTCTCCAACTTTAGGGAGCTTTCAAGTCATCGAAAGGCTTTGTTAAAACAGATTTCTGGAATCCAGTCCCAGAGTTTCTGATTCGGAGACTTTGGGGGTGGGACTCAGAATTTAATGTTCACATCAATTCCCACGTGACACAGAAGCCCTGAACCAACTTTCTTTGTGCCTGTGTGGAAATCACACCTGGCCCTGCCTTTATGCCATTTCCCCAGGACAAGGGGAATCTTAATGAGTAGTCTGATATAAAGGACTGTAGGAAAAGGGAAGGCTAAAGTATACCCGTGAAGCTGATGGCAAGGAGCTTTAAATCCAGGATGAAAGTAGACAGAAAGGACAAAATATGTCATTCCAAAGGATGGATAGAAGAGATCTTGGAGCACATGGCATAACAAGGTCTTCACTTTAACAGAACACAGCCAGGTCGGTGTTGACAAGCTGCCGCCATTTCTACTGGAGATGTCTCCAGAACCACTGTCTTTGCCATCACGGTATGGGCACCGAGACCAACCCCAGGGCACGTTTAGTTGGTTGACTCACTCCCTATACTAGAGATGAAGCACAGAAGGTCCGCTGCATCCGATCACACAGTGGCCTGCCTTCCTTTGAACTGACCTACCTGGTCCTCTATTCTACTGTAGAAGTCCCTAGCTTGCTCTTCAGTGAGAACCGTTCTGTCCTCTGCTTCCACGACAAATCCTGCGTTGATAATCTTCAATGAGAGTGTGAGGTCAGATCCAGACGTGTTGTGGGACCACATGCAAAACAAGACAAGGATATTTCTTTCCTAGGCTGAACGAACCACTCCACTTTAATTGCATTTTGTGTAAAGACCTCAGCAAAAACCATACAGCACCATGTTAGAACGACTCAAAAATATACAAACCAAGAAAGACTCTTTTCATGTGCCCTAGATATCCAAGTTGCCAAGGCTGGAATGAGAGACTCCAAAATATTTCTAGGAGGAATTGCCTCAAAAGGTAAAGAGAACCAACTTAATTTCAAAGAAAGCGATCCTGGCTTTCCAAATCACTAATAAAGACAAATTCACAAGCACTTCTTCACCATCTATTTTCAAAAGTTGTTTTAACTTTTCTTTAGGCTTTAATTTGTGAAAGCTGTAAGTCATAATTGAGCACGTCTTACTCTTACAGCAATAAAAATACCCAAATTATAAGGAATGATAGTTCAGATTTACAAAGTTCTAGTTATTTTAATGAAAATGTAATTTAATGATAAGGTTCGCTATACATGCCATTAAGTTTAATAAAATGTGAAAAATTAGAAGTTTCAAGGCAAATATGACAAGTCCAATGAGATGAACAAGGAAATAAAAATGGAACCTGGGTTCAAAGCAACTCAGTAACTGTGCTAAATGGTACCACTGAAGGGGCTTCCCGTGACTTGGGAGTCCCCAGTCCCATGCACATTGCGCATCTGCTGTTGACGTCAATCCTCTACCCGTTCCACTGGCTTTGCAGAAATCGTTGAGCGCTAGTTAGCTTAGGGAGCCCTCTCCTAACTGACATTCTAATTTGAGTAACGTCTAAAATAAATAAATATATATATATACACACACACACACACACATATAGAGAGAGAGATTTTTAGCTCTAAAGCAAAACGTAAATGCTTCCTCAAGTTATCATGTATCAAAAAGAAGCACACCTTTGTAACAACATACAAGGATTATATTAAATTACTGTGAATTTATAACAGATTACTTTGCTAATAAGTAAACCAGAATAAAATGTGTTACAATCCAATGGAAGAACTATCATTTTTCCAATTTATATAAAACGCTGGCAGAGCAGGCTTATGAAAAGATGGACGTGTGAGTAGATGAGACATTTGCTTAGATACAAACGCCCAAAGCCCTTAGGGGTGCCTAGCGCCAGCATTTCATTATGTTCTTTTCCTTTTTAACTTAAATCGGTAAGCCTTATCTCCAAGTTGACGGTCAAGGGGCTGTTGTTCTGCAGTTAATTTAAACTGTTGTTGGAGAATATTACTTACCTTTGCTTTAATTTCTAGATCTCTTCTGGTAAGCACAGCATCAGGTTTGATAATAGTAATAATGTACGCTTCCTCTAGGAGAGAAAAACAAAGAATTTCATTGTCTTGGCACGAAGTCTAGGTAATAAAGAATCTGGCAATGACGAGGAAATAATCCTAAAAGTTTTTAAAATCATGAGGCAAAACTAGTTGAGTATGTGGGTACTGGTGGTTTGATGTAACTCACATGTGTTAAAATCACATCCATTATCATTATTTGGTATCACCGTTGAGTGGGATTTCAACTATACGTTATGCAGGTAAACATTACAACCTTAGAGATTCCCCATCTATGAATTTATCCCACAGCCTTCTGGTGTGCTGGTGCAAGAGAGCTCACTGAGTGGCCGTTTCCCTTTGCTCTCTTCAGAGAATGAGCATGCCTGTGCCCACGCATGCTCACGTGTGCTCACACACACACACACTGGTAATCCAGCGAAGGCATGCCATTGTTAATCACAAAGTAGACCAAGAGTGCAGCTATTAAGAAATAAATTATGGGGTCAGCAGGTGACTTGGTTGTTGAAGCACTGGACTCCCACGTGGCCAATGGTTGTTCAACCTAGCAGCTTGCTTTCTGACTTTCTCTCTTGCTCTCTGGTAAACCACATGTCCTGCAGCAAATTTTTAAAAATAAATAGATTAAATTAAAAATAATTTTTCAAAAAAGAAAGAAAATATTTTCATAAAGTCTTTGAAGAATAAAACAGGAAGCTGCAGCCCAGATTTATTACAGGAGACAGGAACCTGCCGTCCTGAGTAACCTCCAAGATGCTCCAGGTCCAGAGACCAAAGGAAAGGCTAGGGAACAGAAGTGGTTGACTTAACAGCAGAGCCGTGCAAAGTGCAAAGTATGGTCTATCTCAGTAGCCCCTTATTGACTAGCATTGATGGTATTGCCAGCTTTTGCTGCTGTAAGTGATGCTGTAATGAACATTCATGTGCAGAAAATCCTTGTCATTATTTCAAATAAATTCTCTTACCAGCAGTTTCGAATTGTGCATCCCCAGTATCCTCTGACTCTGATTCTTCAAAGGAAATTTCATGATACTATGAAATAGAAATACAAGTTAAACATAGCTATTTTTAACATGATAGTGGAAAAATGTTTCAAAGTTTTGATTCTATTGGGTCGTTGGAAAATCATGATGCATTTTTGTATAGAAAAACAGAAAATATGTCATGACTTTTCCAACAACCCAACACACATATTTATAATCCGAGGGATAGACAGTAAAATGGAAAGGTGCCTGCATTTATCGATACTACTTTACCCAGCTCTTCATGGAAATAGCCTGAGGAATATGTTTAAATGGTGGGAGTAGGAAGATGATTAGAAATAATGCATAGTGCAATACAAGTTGGTAACATGGGGCCAGATAATGGCACAGTGGTAATGCACTGGACCCACATGGGAAGGTGCCTGACTCGCATTCCAGGGCCTCACTCTACACACTGGTTGCTCATGTGTGTGCCCGTGATGGCTGAGGCTGGGACATGAGTCACAGTGTGAAGGTCTTGTTGGGAGTGCCTGTCCTCCCCTCTTTATTTTCTTTATTTTCCTCTCTTGAAAGAAATAATCAACTTTAAGACAAATGGTTAAGAAAAACTCTAAAACTTTAGAAGAGCATGAGAGATAAAATAAGAAAGAAGCAGAGATGAACAAGTAAGAAAGCAGCAAACACAGCATGGTAAGTGAAGTAAGCCAGACTTTGAAAGACACACACTGTATATCCCCACTCAATATATACCTAATGTCTGCTCTCTACAGTAGAAATTGCAAAGCCTTGGGACCAGCAGTTGGCATAATGGCTATGTTGCTGGACTCCCATGTAATCAACCATGGTTTGTGTCCTGGATCCAGTGGCTTAAACTCACGCCAGGTGAGTGTGCATGTGTGCCCAAGATCCCGAGAGGAGAATGGAGGAGAAGGGATTGCGGCGTGACCATCCCCCCTGGGGGGTGATTTCTCGCTTTCTGTCTCTCTGTCTCTCTCTGTCTTTCTGGCGAGTACACGCGCCCTATAGCAAAAACCTCTCCAAAAAAAAAAAGATAAAAGAAAGAAAGACCCTGAGATATGACAGTAGAGAGGCGAAGTGCAGATACCAGAGACTGTGAGAAGGGAGACGGCGGTAGAGAGTGTTCATTTGATTTTGCATAGGACATTTGTCTCTCTTTCACCAGAGATAGGGAAAGGGAAAGTGAGAAATCACCTGCAAGTGAGAATGACTATGCCAGTCTTATCGCCTCCATTCTCTATGTGGGATTTTGGGCACACAAGCACATGAACCCAGTGTGATTTTCAAGCTTCTGGGTCTAGGACTTGAACCACAGAGTTGGCCATCTGGAATCCAGCACCTTAACCATCATGCTACCTGCTGGTCCCATGTTTTCTAATGTTTTTAATGTGGCTACTAGAAAACATTAGATTATGTATGTGGCTCCCTTACTACTGCATAGGGCTGTGCTAGATAACAGCAAATAGGTAAGGAAACTAAATAACAAAGTGACCACAAGTGAAATAATAAACAAAGACCATAAGAGATTGATACATTTCTCACATGGTCACTGTTATTAATTACAACAGGATGTCATTCTACCATGACGATGACGACCATAAAGCCAGAGTGCAGAGCATCGTGGGCGAGCGGGGTAGAATCCGGCAGTTAGAATATTGAGGGCATCATCGTGCGGGGTTTCACTGTCTACCAGCTGCCTGTTTTGGGAGGTAACATGATGTTTTCCAGCCTTGTCTTTGTCATTTGTAAATATCTCACAAGAGCCATTGCTGAAAGGATTCAATGAAGAGATCTGCTTGAAAATCATGGGGCTGGCAGGTGGTGCGGTGGCTAAGGGCACTGGACTCCCACGTGGCCAGCCACAGACTGAGTCCCGAGCCTGCCGGCTTGCTTTCTCACTTTCCATCTCTCTCTCTGGTCAAATTAGAAATCAATCAATCAATAAATGAAGTAAAAAGAAAATAAAATTGTAGCCAAGATCAAGTCCTCAATAATTGTTGTCTATCATAATTTTCAGAATGATGTATGAGCGAGGGGAAGGGAGGACGGGAGGAGAGAAAGAGACACAGGGGCCAGCAGGCGGCATGGTGAAGAAGCTAGATCCCACATGGCCAACTCTGTGGTTCGTGTCCCGCACCCTGTGGCTTGAAAATTGTGCCGGACACATGCATGTGCATGCGCAAATTCCAAGAGAGAAGAGAAGAGAAGGGACTGCAGTATGATCATCCACACTGGGGGTGATTTCTCACTTTCCCTTTCTCTTTCTCTCACCAGCATGCACGCCTTATGGCAAAAATGTTAAAATAAAATTTAAAAACAAGAGGGAGAGAAAGGGGAAGGAAGAGAAAGAAAGAGAGAGAGGAAGAGAGAAGTAGTTCTTTAAGAAAACAACAAAACTTGGGGGAGAGAAACAACAAAACTTAAAGATGTTTGGGATGAGAAAAGGCTCTATGATAAGTACCCGTCCCCCATTCATTTGTCGCTTTCCTATCACAGCGCTCACCTTCTGAACGCCCACGAAACGCCGTGCACACGGGCCGGGTCAGTACATGCACGCCCGTGTCACCAGCATCTCCCCACCTGGCTGCCCTCCCGTCATGTCTTAGGTGCATGTGGACATTGTGGAGATCAAACCCACCAACGTCACTCTCGACTTTCCTGCTCCATGTCACGGTTGGAAGGCCTACGCCAAGCTGTGCCGGAGCACTGCTGACCAGTATTTCCGTCTTAGACCGTGAGGTCTGTCTCTTCAATTCATCCGAATGTACGTATATGATAGGAAGAAATCCTACACCTAATCTTTTCTTTTTTAAAAAATTAATTAGTTAATTTCATTTTACATGTAATCACTGTAGACCTTCACAGTGTATGAAATGGCTTTTCAAAGCATACACCCATTGCCTGTCAATCCGAAGACACTGCCACATCCTCCAGCTAACAGATCGCTTTCCATCCTTGGGTGTGTCCCGCCATCTTTGTGAGCCCCTCCCATCCCACCCCCCCCTGTCCCGTTCAGTCTCTGGAATGCCCCCTTGCCATCCCCGCTACTTCACCTCCCAGCTTCCGGTTTCTGCCATAAAGTGCAGAGCATGAGTATATTTTACTACAAAAACATTTTGAAATTCATTATTTTTTTCATAATATGCATTTTCTATCTTTTTGAAGACTCCTCATCCGAGCCTGAGCCTAATCCTTCTCATTATTTCTATTAGAAATATTTCTTGGCTAATCGTCTTGACTTAGGGAGCTTTTTGTTTCTACTTGTTAATTGGTGTGTGTTTAAATGACACTGCTGTCATGTAATCTTTCATTACCTACACTTCCGACCACGCCATGTGGATTGCTTCCTTACACTCTTATGTCTATACCTCCACATGCTTTCTGGTTAATTTCTTGACTGTAAAATATTGATTTTTGTCACATAGGTAATACTAACATATCACAGATGACATACTTCACACGTACATACAAGATTTAACCATAAGCTTCCTATGAAAGTGGACTCTTTAATTCATCCATCTCCCGGGCCTTCTTTCTATTTCAGTCGAGTTGGGGCACACTAAATGCATAGCACTGCACGAACTTACAGAATCGGTGACTTACAGTATATACATTGTAATCTAGTCACTGCTACTAGGCCTTTAGGTTGATTCCAGATTTTTGTTGTTAGTTTTTGTTACAGGGTATGTGTGCTCACCAGAGAGAGACAGCGAGAAAGAGAAAGAAAAATCATGCCCAGGGGGATGGCCACACTGTAATCCCTTCTCCTCCTTTCTCCTCTGGGGATTTTGAGTGCTCACGCACACACATGCTGGGCATGTTTCTCAAGCCTCCAGGTCTGAGACTCAAACATGCAGTTAGCCATGTTGAGGTCTAGCCACTGTAACTACCATGCCACTGGCTGGCTCCCAAAGTTTTACTAACATATACAACACTGAAATAAATGTAATTTTCTAGAACTGTCTCATCTTCTTAGGGTAAATGAAGAGTAACTGCTCTGTATTTATAATGTGTATATTTATATGATTGACTTATACATTTAATCTTAGTTATAAAATTAGAAAAATAAGCCCTAGGAAAGCAGCAAATAAGGTAATGTACTTTAAAAATGAAAATTAGCTGTTAATGCAGAGTATTAACTGAGGGCGAGCCATTTCACCTGCTGCAATTTTCCTCTCTTCGTTGATTAAGTTAATAACTTTTTTATTAACAAGTGGTGCATTAGCACCCTGAATCTTGGCAATAATTTTGCCATTCTGTGAGAGAAAAGAAAACATGAAAGGAACTTTCATTTCCCAAGGACGTCCAGAATTCACACTTAAACTGGACTGACCTGCCTCCCTGTCCCCACCAATCCTCTTTCAGATTTTTGTTTGTTTTTAATTTTGCCAGAGGGAATGTGTGCTCACCAGAGGAGGCCAGAGGGACAGAGAGAGGAAGGAGAAAACGCCCCCAATGGGCCATGCTCCTCCTTCAGTGCCTCCTCTTCCACTTCTCTCTGTCAGGATTTCCAGCAAGGCCCATGCACACGCCTGGTATGTTTTTTTTGTTTGTTTTTTGTTTTTTGTTTTTTTTTATTATAAATTTTTTTTTTTCTCATCACAACACACATATGAATTTTCCATCCAAAATACACTGTGCATTGGCTCAATCAAGCACATCAACATATATGTTCTCAGCAAATGATTTCCCAATTTTTGTGTCCTGCATACCTTGCCTTTTGTTTTGCCATCCTAGATTCCCCATCCCCACCCTCTGCCATGTCCCGTCATCCTCCTCCATTGTCCCTAACATTCATGATTGCCCTCAATGCCTTCCGCCCCCCCCCATTCAATTGTTCTACCAATGAACTCAATTAGTCTA